TCCTGAAATTCAATTGGTTTGCGCCACGATAAAGTCATGTGACCGGAAAATTTTTTGTGGTATAATTACATAGGTTAGTGTCTAGACCCCTGGAGGGGCCTGCTATAACCGGTTTCAAGTATTCCGCACTATCTTTACGAGTTTTAGTGTTAAGGCTTAATCAATTTCAAATCACTTTTATTTACAAATCGTTTTACTTTTTTACTTCAATAGTTTAGGTTTGTATGAGTAAATGCAATATAAATTTAAATAAATAATCATAATTAAAAATGTATGTTTTAATGATTGTGAATTTATTAACAGAAAAAAAATATATATCAATTTCCACTCAAGATTTCTGTCGACAAAGTATTTAATGCATCCCAAGTACCAATAATAGCACCACAAAGGGCAAAAATTAAAATAAAAATAACCCAAATTTTTTCTTTAAAATTTTTTAAATGATTCCAACCAAATAATTTTATCCAAATTAATATTGGCATAACCATTAATAAAATACCATTACCTAAAGCGCCTAAAAGTGACATAATAGTATTAAAATATGGTACAACTATTGCAACATATACTGTGAAAGCTACAAGAGTTAAACGAAGTATTGTACGTAAAATAAATTCACTAGTATTACTAATAATTGAAATGTTTGTAAAAATATATTTTTCTAATTCCAAAGAAAAAGCTGTTTGATAAACAGGGAGTGCAAAAAGAATATGTATTGTGATCATTAACATGGTAATATCAACTATGACACCAGGTGGAAGGCTTAGATATATAGGTGACTTTGTGTTTCGACCATAGGTTAAGTAGGCAGGAATACCGATTAAAAGGTACATAAAAACAATAGTAAATTTCGCAAGTTTAACTACTTTAGGCCATGCTTTTCTATTTTTCATACTATAAAAGTATTTATGTGTGTTAAAGAGAATTGAACTTTATAGAGCATCAATATTTATTAAAACAATTAATTCGAATTCTTACCTGGCTTGAATATGTGGGTAAACAACATTACCTCCAAAACTGAAAAAGAAAGTTGATAGAGCGATAGGAAGGTTTCGAAAATTGACAAAATCGTGCTGATTTTTTAAGTTTTTCGGATATTCAATGATGGATATTATGAACACGGTCAATACGACAAACAACGTCGTCACTACTCCAAATATACTATGATTTCAAAGAGATAATGCATGAATATATGATTAAATAAAAATATAAATACAGAAATAAAAGAATAAAATACCTTAACCAAGCAGTTTCTTTCATTGTTTTAAGAAAAATGAATGGAACACACATAGTAGTAGCACAGAAATATACCCATGTTTCCCTTCCCAAGTCGATTCCATGGTTACTGAATAATATTTGTAGATTATCTCCAGAGAGAACAAGATAAAGGATTGGACATCCTAAACTTATTACGTTAAAAAAGAAACCAACCACACATAATCCAGGATTGCCAAACGCATAATATGCCAATTCCGATACTGAAGTTTTACGTGTTTTACTGCGGCATAAAACGTAATCATAATAAGTAACAAAATATTAATAGACGAGTATTTTAAATGGCTAAGATCTTTTTACTATACCCATGATATAAACATTCAATTAATTTTATGCTTGTATATGTAGACATAAGTGCTGCTATAATCAAAAGTATTAAAGATATCCATCCTCCTTGTTGTAGAGCATATGAAATACCAAGAGTCCCAGATCCGGCCACCACACAACTGAAAATGTAAAATTTTAATGATTTATAAACTTTATCAAAAATTTTATGACATATGACGAATAACTAACACTATATTCATGTAAGCAGCCCAATCTGATCCGCTTCCAGAGGTAGTTGTAGAGTTTTTTTCAAGATCATCATGTATAGACTCAGTTACTGTATTTTAACAAGTAACGATAACATGAATATAAAGCAAATTATTTGCAAGCAGAAAATAAACGGTTTAGAAAATAGGAACCTTTTGGAATCGCGTTATAATCTTTCTGTTGATTGTTACATAAATGACTTGTTTCTCCTGTTTCTTCGTTACAGTTTTGTGGATTGTTGTAAAAAACGCTTGTTTCTTCTCCAGCCTCCATTGTTTAGCTATTGTTATTAAAGAAAGTCTCTTTTGTTAAAAAATAACAAATATTGGTTGATCAGGTCTTCTTTTATATCAGAAATAGGTATCTTAATATATTCCAATGAAATTCCATTACCTTTTCTCTCGAAATAGGTTTACTATAAAGAAAAGAATGAAATTTGTGAAACATTCTTATCATATAATGACATAATCATCTAGTTTAATTCGTGATCAATGAAATTATTATCATGTGTCAATTCTGTGTTCCCATGTCATAGTCACATTGTTTATTATCGCAACTTTCCGATTACAAAAAAAAAATACAAACAAGCTTTTATAATTACCTAATTTTGGAATGCACTAAAATCTTACATATTAGTCACCTGACTTTTGATATATATATATTTAACTATATATATAATATAATTAATTAATAAAAAGAAAAAAAGACTCAATATTTCGTAATGACTTATCTTATTTGTGTTAAATCAAAAATTTAATGATGCATTGTTTCGTAATTATTTGTAAATGTATATCATATAAAACTTTAGGTTTATAATAACGTCAGTAAATATTGTTGCTTGTTTAAACATGTATTTAAAGTATGATATAGATAACTATCTTGTTACCTTCATCAGATAAATTTTTAAGGGGTGATAGGGATTCAGAATTGTCATATTACATAAATCATATCTAATGAGTGAAAGTTTCATAACAATAGTATTCGAAAAGTTTTTGAATAAAAAATGGCTCTTCTTATTTGATGAAAAAGATTTAATGCTCAATATGGGGGATCAGTACTAATGAATAACTAAATTAGTGAGGTGTTAATGTATGTGCGATTTGGTCAATTCGAAAGAGAGCATGTTAAATTTTACGTAACAAATATTTCTTTATTAAGTATATGATATAAATAAGAATGGCAAAGATTGCCACTTGTAGATGAAATGTTCGCCCTTATATATCTTTCTTCTTTATGCCATTTATATGCATACTTTCTTTAATACCTTATCGCTTATCAAAATGATATAGTAGTTTATGTCTCCTTCATTTCTTCTATTCCCAGCTACCCAATTCGCCAGAATTATAAGTTACAGTATCTGGTATGGGAATACATAGAACGCTAGATCTACATCACGAACTTGATTCATTAAAAAGCCGCAATACTCAATTTAGCTTTAATAACAAACGGCTTATAAACGATATATGCTTTTAGCGTCGCAAATTTTATCTGTGGATGTTACACGGATTTGTTTATTGAGCCGCTTGTGAACGAAGTCACAAGGCGGTACATTATTGTGAGTCACTGGACCTTCCCGTGACAAGGGTCACAGGACATTGTCCATGACGGAAATGTATATCTGAGTAACCTGATGATCAGATCGTTCTTTGTTCTTGATTTTTTCTGCTCGACTTTGTGTCTAGCGATCCCATCCCACCTCGCCCAAAAAAAAAAAAAAAAAAGAGAAGAGGAAGAAAGGTAAAAGAAAAGAGGGAAAGCAAACCTACGATACTCGAAAAGTCTGATCACGTGACCCATTTTGGCTTGTTCGGCGACCCTATCCCATACTGTACTACAAGTTAGGCACATATATATTGTTGGCCACGGAAGTTGTTCGTTCAGATGGAAGGGACAGCTTCCATGACGAACAATAATAATGCTTTAACAGCAACTCCCCTGGCATATACAGCTTTTACGTAATCGCCGTTTAAAAATCTACCAAACAGAGTTATAATTCAAGTTTTAAGTCAAGTTTTAAAGTTTTTATTTCAAACTTTTATGACTTTTATACAGTATTACTTAATATTATTAATTATAAATTTTCATGTGAGATTATACGTTTTCCAAACAAAACAAATATTACCATTAAAAATTACTGAATCACATGTATCGGGGTATTCTAGATACGGAAATATACGTAATGATAAGGGTTTAGTGGATACTGCATGCGTCACGAGATATAGAGTCAGGTTATGGTTTTGTGCCGAAACAGACTCGTAAACCCGAAACCGAGCCAGAATACCCAATATGTAGCCGCCTCTGTTATGCTGAACTTTGCTAATTTATAATGAACTACTATCAATATTCGAGACAAATAATAGAGTGATTCAGAATTATAGTAACGTATTTCAAAAATAAGTGGGAGTTTAAAAAATCTTATTTCTATTTTGAAATCCCGAAATCAGAAAATGAAGTAGGTGCATTTTTCTGATATATTATCATAAAAAAAAAAAGGAATTTAAAGATGGAAAAAAAATACGTCACAAAATTTGTTCGAAAGGCATCTGATCATTGTCGCTTAGCTGGATCGACGATCTTCCTATTTTTTGAGTCCCGTGAATCCTGTGACTTCAACTTCGTCATATTTCGCGGGACCCCAAAAGAAGACTTTCGTATGATTGGCTGATGTAAATCAATTGCCCGGGTAACTTATTTATACAGTTTAAAGTACTTTTTTGAGAACATAACGTTTTACTAACAAAAAATCATCGTAAAAGCCATTTATAGCTTCGAGAGAATGTCTATATTCATTGCGCAAAAATAATCAAAAATAATCAGTAACCTCAAGAACTTCACTTTGAAGCGAATATTTCGTTATTTACTACTATAACTATCTCGTTACTATCTTTATTGGCTATATAAGTGCTAAATGCAAAAAAAAAAAAAACAGTAATAAACGAACGATCAAGACGTTTAAGGATTCTCTTATAAGCGTTTAATTTATCGTATTTTAAGTTCGACATACTTTTTAATAATCTTAATACATATATTACTTTAGTATTGTGTAGAGCTTATTAAGTAGATGAATATAAATATGCTTTAGTATATATATATACGTGTAGCATTAATTAATAATGTAGACTGAAAAAAGTAGTGATATTAGCTGAAAAATAAGGCTATTGTTTAAGAATTTACGTTAATAAAGAGTGTACAAATATGAGTAATAACCAGAGAAATATATGTGATATTGCTTAATTTATAATGTATCTTGGGTGATAGCAACTTGAGCAAAGGCAATAATAATTAAAAATGTGATTTTTACTTGAGTAAATAATTAATAAAAGATAACTATGAAGATAGTATATAAGTTTCGCTGGTATAAAGTTTCGTCTACGAATTCGTTGATCTGATTGGCTAATTATCACAGGTAATAACGTGTAGATCTATAAAAATTAACCAATCATATGAACGTCTTCCTATGGCTAGGAAACATTAATATCTAGATCTTAATTTTATATTTTTCTTTAAAAAAATTTATTAAATATATCCATATATCATTTAAAATAACAAGGTTACCACACAGTAATAACGATAATTTTAGAATGTATAATAAGACAGTCAACTCTGGATATAACGAACTTCTCTCTAAAGAACTCCGGATATAAAGAACTCAAAATTCTAAATTTTATATGGTTCAGTATAAAAAGAGTTATGGTTTTTTAAGAAAACATGGTAGTTTCCTATAATGAACTTTTTTTCTTCCAAGAATCATAAGTTCATTATAGAATAAATTTCATATACAGTATTTAAATTTAGTGATTTTTATTATACAACATCTTTATCAGAACTTACCGCCATTTCGCCAACAATCAACATATAGCCAGCATTAGCTATGAACCAGGCTAATCCTAGTTGTCGGCGAAATTAGTTATACCATTTTTCTCTTTAGGTACGTACATACATGAGATATACAACAATTACTGAATTATTGTAGCAAGGAAATAATAAATATAATGCTTCCAATTTAATAACATACTTTTAACTTGATTTAATATTCTATATACCAATATAAAAATAAGTTATAGATTTGTTTACTTATAAATAAATAAAGATAGACATGGGTTTAGTATTGCTTGCTGCAAATATGAAATGCGACTTTTTTATTGCGCCACTAGGGTTGCAACTTATCGTCGCAATAGAATGTGACATCGGTAATATAATAGTCATGACTTATTTTGTAATAATTACAACATAAATAAGCTGTAATATTAATTTGCGACTTTGCAGCAGGCAACACTACATGGGTTTCATGCGTGTGCATTAATGCGCATGATTCGGAATCATGCTATTTTATCCCATTTAAATTTTATATAGAAAAATTAAAGTATATATAATTTAGGGCAGAGAGTATAATGCCGAGCGGAAATAAGAAATAGGAAACAAAGCTCCGAAAAAGAAACGAATGAACATAAAGACGAAAAAGGGTGGGCAAAAATTTCAATATTTTCCGAAGGGGAATTATAAACCAAAAAATTATATCATGCACATTTTCCATCACTAAAACTTACCGTCAGGAATTTCAAAGTCATCAATGCATTGACTTCCTAAAATATACACATATACTATAAGTATACAAAACTACAGTTTAAATTCAATATAAGAAAATAAATATCATTACCTGCGTTTACTATATTGACAGATTCAGAAATTTTACGATTAATAACATATTACTAATTTTTTTAAAAAATATGAATAAATGTTATTACCTGGTTTGGGAAGTTCTGGAAGATTCAAAAATCGACTTGTATAAATAGCTTGTGGATGTGTCTGATATTTGAATTGTGCCGATTTGATTTGATTAT